CAACTTCCTGGTGGGGAGTGTTGGCTGGGGTCACCCAGTGTGGAATCATCAGTGTCTCTGAATGCTTGTGCTCTATTTCTCCTCCTGGTGGAACTCACCTTTACTCCTCATCATGCAGATGGAGCTGGTTCCCCACCAGCCTTCAGGGGTGGATCTGCAACCCAGGCCTGACCAATCAGAGCATTCTAGCCCCCTGGCCACAGTGATTGGCTCCTGGGTGGTCACGTGACACACAGTGAACTATTAAAGCCTTCTGTGGTACTTCTGCTGGAGCCATGAGGGCACCTGGAGCCCCACCTGCTTTAGAGTGGTAAAGAAATAACTCATCAGGCCTGGGTTGTCCAAACTATGCACATTTAAAGGACTGGCCCTTGACTGGCACCTGGGAGGTCACCTCTAGACTCTTGGAATGTCCTGACTGGTATAAGTGTTTACCTGAGGTTGTGGGCCACACCAGATAGTCCATGCTAACAATATGATTTAGGGTGGGGGCTTTTGGCCACATGATATCAGTTCAACCTCTGGACGGGCTGGAGACTGAATTTCATCGCGTGGGTGGTCAGCCATATCTTCATGACTGACTCCTCCTCCCCAACAAAAACCCTGGACAAGGCTCGGGTGAGCTTCCCTGGATGGCGGTATTCCATGTGTGTTGTCACATGGAATTGCTGTCATTGCTGGGAAAATTCAGTGCTGTCTGCAGCCAGAAGCTTGTGCCTGGTTTCTCTTGGTTTCTGCCTTGTGCACCCTTTTCCTTTGCTGATCCTTATCCTTTCGCTGTGATCAACCATAGTCACGAGTGTAACAGCTTTTCTGAGTTCTCCTAGTGAATTATCAAACCTGAGGGCGGTCTTGGGGATCCCTGACAACAGATGTCTTTACCCCCATCCCGAGAAGAGCTGTGAGCGCCCCCCTACCCATTGCACAAATGAGTCCTGAGGCCCCAAAAGGTAGACTTGCTGGCTCTGAGGTGCCCAGCTAAGGGAGCACCGGAGCAGGCTGCTTGCTGGCCACCCTACCATGCAAAGGGGCCAGCTCCAAACTGAGTGTTCTCATGGATCATCACGTTCCCTTTGCTGCAAAACTGTTTGCTTCAAAATCCCAAAGGTCCATTTGCTCTGACCTAGCATCTCAAGTTTCAGGAAGTTCTGGGACAGATGTGCAGAGATGTGTCTCTAAGGGCTGTGCGTTGCAGAAGTTTTAAGGCGTTTCTAAGATTTCTCATCCTGTGTCATCCCAGGTCTGGGAATGTGGTAGACCTCACTCCCATGATTGTGTTGTTATTGGGCACAGTTTACCTTAAGATAACCTGGGTGGGCCTGACCCTGCTGGTTGTAGAAGAGGAAGTCAGAGGGATTCAACATGAGGGAGGTCTCTATTGCTGAGATGGAGGGGGCCACGTGGCCAGCGCCTGAGAGTGGCCCCCAGCTGACAGCAAGGAAGTGGGGACCTCAGTCCTACAACCACCAAAAAATGAGTTCTGCCAACAACCTGAAGGAGTTTGAACACAGATCCTTCTCCAGATGAGCCTCTGGATGAGGACACAGTCAAGCCAATACCTTGATTACAGCCTCATGAGACCCTGAGCAGAGAACCAGTTAAAACATACTAGACTTATGACTCACAGAAACTGTGAGATAATAAATGTTCCTTATATTAAGTCACTAAGTTTGAGATACTTTGTTACACAGCAATAGGCAGCAATAGCAAACTAATACATATATTAGCGATAGCCAACTAATGAATAGTGGGTGTTCATCCCAGTGTAGTTTAAAAACCCACAAACTGCAAAGAACATAAATGTCTAACGGAAAGGTTATGTACATAAACTCTTGTAAACCCATTAATAATAATAACAATTTCCATGACGATGCCATTTGCCTTTGGTCTAGGGCCAGGCTCTTGGGTAAATGCTGTTATTATCCCTATTTTATGGATGAGCAAAATGAGGAACAGAGAGGGTGAGACACATCCAAGGCTACAAGGGGTGAGGGTCAGGCTAGGGTCACTGTTCCCATCACAGAGCTAGACCTTTTTCAATGGGCTTGTTACGTGGAATATATGTTGAGAGGCTACTCAAGGTGATCAACTGGCTTCCAATTTCTTGAGTGACCTAGTTCTTAAAGGCTTTTGGAGAGCATGCCAATGCCTGATGATTTCCTCCATTATCATTTCAGGGGTCCTGTTGGGAGCCACTGGGGCATTCAGTGTAAAGTGGAGAAAAATCAATACTTGTTACCAAGCACTACAGCCCATTGTTGCGGTGTTCCTAAGTCTTTTAACTTCTCTAAGTGCTCAGTTTCCTCATCTGGCAGATGGGACCAAGTCACTGTATCCACCCCGAAAGGCAGTTGTGGGTGCCAGACACTGAGCACAGAGCCTCGTGTGTTTTAAACACTCTACGTGGGGTGACTGTTACTAGTACTGTTGTCTGTTTCTCAGATGAATTCACTTACACTCAGAGAGGGGAAATGCCTTTCCCAATGTCACACAGCAAGCTGGTCAGCACTTAGAGCTGGCTCCTCCCATGTTCTACTCCATTCAGCAGTCTGGCTGTCTCTCCCCTCCTCATCCTCTTAACTCCAGACTGCCTGCTCCACAGCTACCCTTCTTGCCTTTCTGTGGCCCTTCTAGGGGCAGTGCAGCCCTGGCCTGCTCCAGTATTTTCCTGGCCCAGCCTCTGGATACGCAGTTGGGCACAGCAGTGGGTAAATAGGTCAGCGTGTCTGAGCAAGTGCTGGCATGTTGGTGGTAGGATGATCTGATCCTAGATGAAGGGTGGAGGATCCCAGAGCTTTGGCCCTGAGCTCAGACAGGCTGGAGTTGGAATCTCTGCAGCAGTATGTAAGACCTTCCAGATTCTCCGAGCCTCGCTCTCCCCATCCCTGAAATGGGCTGATAGCTGTGTTGTGAGGATTAAATGAGATCATTTATTAATTCAACACATATTTCCTGAGCACCTACTCTGTGCTAGGCCCTGTGCTGGGGTTGTTCAATGAGGAAATACAGAAAGGGACCCAGGTACCAGAGGCAGGATGAAGGGTAATCAGGAGGGCTCTGGATCAGAAAGATCCAAGTTCAAAGTTCCAAGCAGCCCATTCACTGGTAGGGTGAATATCGTCACATGTTGCCTAACCCTTTTGAGCCTCAGTTTCTCCATTTGTAAATGGAGATATTAATGACAGGTATGGAAAAAGGTTTCACAGAATCTAGCATTGCCTTTAGGGTCAGCAGTTCATGATCGGGGTAAAGAGATGGTAGTGCCAGCCTGGCACTGGTGGGCAGAACTAATGAGACCACCTGGGTAGAGACATACACCTTCACCTTCCTGTCTTGCCTCAAAATATTCATTCTATGACCACCGTAAATTAGATTCAAGCGAGAAGGAAAACAACTCAGGAACTTTTTGCAGGTCAAAAGACCCAGGAGCCCAGGAGGAGCTCTCCTGGGCAAGCCAGAGCTGGTCTTCAGCTTCAGTTTCCCCACATGTAAAACAAGAAATTGACAAAATGGCGCAGTTCCTGTGAAAAACAGCTTGGCAGTTTCTCAGAAGGTTAAACATAGAATTTCCATATGACTTAGCAATTTCATTCCCAGGTATAGACCCAAGAGAAGGGAAAACATCTGTCCACACAAAACCATGTACATAAATGTTCACAGCAGCACTATTCGTAATAGTGAAAAAGTGGAAACAACCCACATGTCCATCAATGGATGAATGGATAAACAAAATGTGGTTTATCCACACAATGGAATATTATTCAGTCATAAAAAGGGATGAAGCATTGATACAGGTAACAGCATGGACTAACCTTGAAGCCATCATGCTGAGTGAAAGAAGCCAGTCACAGAAGGTCACATATTATATGATTCCATTAATACGAAATGTCTAGAAAAAGCAAATTCATAGATAAAGTAGCTTAGTGGTTGCTAGGGGCTGGGGAGGGGGGATGAGGAATAACCTGTTTAGTGGGTATAGGGTTTCCTTTAGGGGTGATGAAAATGTTCTGGAACTAGATGGTGGTAGTGACTGCACAGCACTGTGAATGTACTAAATGCCACAGTATTGTACACTTTAAATGGGTTAATTTTATATGTGAAATTTTTTTTTTTAATATGAGAACTGGACAACCACCATCTCTCAGGGCCCGTGGGGATGTAGGATTTTATTCTATTAAAAGTCTACTCTTGGGACTTCCATGGTGGTCCAGTGGGTAAGACTCCGCGCTCCCAATGCAGGGGGCCCGGGTTCAATCCCTGGTGGGGGAACTAGATCCCACACGTATGCCGCAACTAAGACCCAGCGCAGCCAAAATAAATAAATAAATATTAAAAAAAAAAAAAGTCTAGTCTTATTGCGAGCAAAGTTTACCAGCCCCCACAATTCCCCAACAACCTTAGGGAAGCCCCACCAGCCCAACCCAGCGTCCAACGCGCGCTCGGTTTGCATAGTCACGCCCACCCACTCAGCCTGCAGCTGGTTCCGCCCCCCCCCCCCCCCCCCACGTGTTTTGCGCCGGCCTGGCCCCCTCCGCGCCCTCGTTGGGGCTCTCAACAGAAGCCAAAGGCGGAAGACTTGGAGAGACTGCGTAAGTAATACATCACGTCAGCAGCTGGTGGGGCGGGGCTTCGACGGGCCTGGTTGTCAGGGTCATGAATAATACACATTGAGGCGGGGCCTGAAGGTGGGCGCGTGTCGGGGCGGAGTCCGGGCACGAAAGGGGACACCTCTAGAGTTCTGAGAGGTGGGGCCATCCGCGCCTTATGAATATGCAGGAAGTCGGGGCGGTGACTGTGGGCCTCACTAGGCCCGCAGGGTGGCGTGGCCAGCCGCGTCTCACGAATAATGCAGCACGTCGGCGGGGGGTGCGGCGGCGATTGTGGTTCTCGCTGGATCCGGAGGGGGCGTGGCCAGTCGCGTCTCATGAATAATGCAGCGCGTCAGCAGGCGGCGGGGTGGGGCGTGGCCGGCGCGCCTCCGGCCCTGGAGCCGGGAAGGGGGGGGCGGGGGAGCGATGGTCGCAAGATGGCGGCGCTGAAGGAGGCTCGGAGCTACGGGCTGTCGTGCGGGCGAGTGAGCGACGGCAGCAAGGTGTCCGTGTTCCACGTGAAGCTCACCGACAGTGCCCTGAGGGCCTTCGAGAGCTACCGCGCCAGCCAGGTGAGCGACACGGGGCTTGGCGCGGCCGTCGGGGACGTCGGGGCGCAGGTCGGCCTCTCGCGTCCCTCTCCGTGGCGTCCTTGCCTGGGGGCTCGGGGTCCGGCGTCTGAGGTGCTGATCGCGGGTTCCTGGGCCGGTGGGGCGCGGGGTGGGCACCTGTCCGGCTCGGAGCGCGGGGAGCCTCGGCGCGGGGAGACGACCCTGGCGGGCGGCCCAGGGCGGCCAAGGGGCCCGAACTCGCGCGCCTGGTCCGGGGGACGTCTGTGTCGGCACCTGGAGGCGTCCGGGGCCTTTCCCGACTTACCCGGCACCTGGGCAGGAACTCGTTTTTTCACCTGACCAGGGGAGGGGGTGGAGGCAGCGCCGTCCGAGCACGGGAGGTGGGGGTTTGGGACTTCTCAGTCTGGCTCCTTGTAGGGTGGCTGGTAGGGATGGCTGACTGCACTCCTGGGGAGCAGCTTTAACGTCTAGGACGCTGGCAGGGTGGGTCAGTGGGGCACCGCTGTCGGGGCATCTGTGGGGTCCTGTTCCGTTTGTTTATGGAGGTTGTGTCTACACTTGGGGGCCGTCTTTGATGCTTTCCAATGAGGCCTCTGGAGTTGGGTTCACTCTTGGTTCTTGTGAAGGGGAGTTTGGGCAGAACCTGACAGCTTGTCCCCAACTCCCTAGGTGAACCTGAATCACTGGACACCTTTAGAAAGTGGGAGTGTTTTGGGGAGGGAATTGCTGGCATGGTGCCTCTCCCAAGCTGGGAGCCTGTTGTGGGCACCTGGGGAGGAGCTCTGGCCCCTGCACCTGGCTGCTGACTCAAACTTCTCAGGGGCCGATTTGGGCCCATCTCGGGAAGTTCGAGGCGTTTCAGTTCTGCCACCTGGTCCGGGGGGATGGGGAGAGGCTTCTTTCTACCTTCTTTCAGGCCTGACTTTGGGGCACATCTGGGGCCCGTGGTCAGAAACTGCTTCTTCCCATTTCTGTTTGTGTCATGGCGCCCTCCTCCTGTGTTGGGACAGAAGTTGCAGGTGCCCAGTGGTCAGGTCCTGAGGGGAGGTGGTTTGGGAGCCCTTTTCCTCCTTTCCTGGAAAGTGGGGGCTTCATAGTCAGTGGCTGTAGGGGGAGGGGTCTGGCGTCAGGTTCAGGGAGGCGCTAACGTGTGCGTGTGTGTGCGCGCGTGTGTACTGGGGATGGGGGGGCCTCGGGCGGGTGAGGAGAGAGACTAACTAGGAAGGAATGTGGCTTTCTTCCTGCCCTGGACTTGTTCGGCACCATTAGCTAAGCTGGGAATTTCTTCCCCTGTTTTGTTCCCAGTGCCCACCCTTCCCGCTCTTCTTCCCACTTTTTTGGACAATTTCCTTCCTGTCCTCGTGTCTCAGTTTCCCCTTCATAGAACTGGGATTTCATCTTTCTGGAAGAGTGAGTTCTCACCTTGTCAAAAGGGATTCCCCAAGGTGAGGCTGGGGTGCCAATGCAGGTGAGGAGGAGGGGGCACGGTGGCCAGCTTGAACCTCCCTTCCTTGTGGAATTCCAGCCGGGAGTCTTTTTCCCTGGGCAATTCTGACTTGTTCCCCTGGAAGGCAGGATTTCCTAGAAACAGCTGGGGGAGAGCTTATGCGTCATGTAAATAAGGTGAGCTTGGTAGCTGGTCACTGTGAGTTCGGAGCCCCGCCTTCCCTGCCATGCTGCCCTCCCTTGATCTAGTTGTCCGGAAGGCCTGCCTGTGCGTCCACCTCATGCTGTCACGCTGCTATTTTTAATTTAGGGTGTTGGTTACATCCCCTAAGCTGGATCTTCCTCCTGTGAGGGTGAAGGTATAACTGTAGACTCAAGTTCGTCCCACGGAGAGCCCAGCTGTGTATGTCTGTGTTGATCAGCCGGAAAGGGCTCCCTCGAAGAGCTTCTCCTTCTCAAGCTACTCGTGTTAACTTGGCTAGCTGGGCTAAATTTTGGGGGTGACTCAAACTTTCATTTTTCTCAGAGGCTGACTTGTCATTTAAGTTACTTGGCAGTTTTGTATTTAATCTTATCCAGTGGGCAATGTAGTGGACTGAAGTAAAATCAGGGCAGCTTGGGCACACTCAGTGTTCTTGGGTGGTGGGCATGGGGAAGGCGACTTGAAGAACTTGTTTGTGTGACTAGTGAAGTGTATTGGTTATTAACAAAACCTCATATGTTTGACTGTCAGTAGCGTCTAGAGTTTTCTATTCTCTAGCGCTGTGGTTATATGGTTTGCCAGTGGCAACTTGTGGGGAGGGTTTTTACTTTTACAAAATTTTTACAGTTGCCCTTGAACAACACAGGTTTGAACTGCCCGGGTCCACTTGTATGTGGATTTTTTTTCACTAAACACATACTACAGTACTAGGGGACCCACGGTTGGTTGAATCTGCAGATTCGGCACTCAGGATATGGAGGGCCGACTGTGAAGTTTATAAGGGATTTTTGACTGCTCAGGGATTGGTGCCCCTAACCCCTGTGTTGTTCAAGGGGCAACTGTAATTGCAAAGAGGTTTTTACAGACTCAGATGTGGCAGGGGCCTGGAGAGGAGCATCCTTCAAAACTTTCTCTGTGGCTCCTGGGAGCCTAGCTGTTGGAGTAGCCGGAGAAGTCCCTGACAGCTTCCCTCTGCAGAGAGGTCTGGAGTCTGAGCTGCCTTTGTACAGACCTAGTGACCAGCCTGGAACATGGTGGAAGGTAAAGATGTAGTCATATGTGCAGCTGCCACCGTCCAGACTTGGGCTTCACGCAGTCTTGAGTGCATCCCAAGGCACTCCCGTGGATCTCCCTTTTCACTGTGATGGGTTACTTCCGGGAGAGAAGAGAGGGGAAGCGTAAACACAACCCATCTTTCCAAGACAGCATCATGCGCCTGTTCAGAGAAGTGTCCCTGACAGTGATTGAACGGAAGTGACCTTCCCTGGGGCACCTCCCTCGACCACCTGAGTATTTCATCATCGGATTTGGTGGGCTCTGTTGCTGAGTGATCCTCCCCTCCCCAGATTAAAAGGTCTTTGATGAAGAGTAGCATATTGTTGTTCAGGAAAAACTGAGGGCCCAGGGAGGGGCCCAAACAACCTGGGAATTGGAGCCTATCTGGGTTTGAATCTCTGAATCTCGGCTCTACCTGCGTGAGGCCTTGGGTCAGTGCCTGACCCCTCCCGGTCCAGGTTCTCCTCCTCAGAGCTATGAGGATCCCAGTGGCTGCTCTGGTTCCTTCTTCTCTTTAGGATTATGAGTGTCCCAGTACCTGACCCCTCCCAGCTCCAGATCCTTCTCTCCGGACTCAGGGCCCTGCCCTCTCTGAGCTCTGGCTCCTCCTCTCAGGGCTGTTGGGATTCCTTTGGCACACGTGCGGCCCTCAGTGCAGCCCTGACCCCTCCCAGGTTCTCAGCACTTGGTGTCGGTACTCAGGGCTGGTTCCCACCTGGGGGTTTGAGCAGAGACTATAGGAGAGCCTGGGCTCCTACATTTTCCCAAATCTGATTGAGCGCCTGCTCTGTACAGGGACACTGCTCAGGGGCTGGACATTTATAAGTGACCAAATGAGTCCTCAGTCGAGCTGGCATTCTAGAGGCAGGAGACAGATGATGAACAGGGTGGCACAGAAATCAGCATGAAGAGCTTGTCAGCAGTCATTGTCAGGAAGGAAATAAAATGGGGCGATGTGAAAGGGCGCTGCCTAGGAGATGCCAGAGCTGAGGTCTGCTGGGCGAGGGGTCCCCTGGGGGGAAGGGGTGTGAGTTCCAGGCATGGCACATGCATAGGCCTTGAGACATGAGGGGCTGGGGAGGGTGTTTGGGCAGGGGGCAAGGCCCAGGTAAAGACGTGGAGGCAGCTGCAGGGCTCTGTCCTGGGACGGGCTTAGGAAGAGGAGGTCTGCAACAATACTCTGTGACTGTTCTGACCCACGCTGGGGGCTGCTTGCCTGCTGCTAAGGGGCTAGCTGCGTGGGTGTCAGCCTGGCCACCGGTGGCAGGAGGAGCCTTAATTTAGCCTCTGCTCCCCTCCCACTGTGAGGCCCCAGGAGGTGGGTTTGTCTCTCCTTCCTGGGGGGCTGCCCCACTCGGCCCTAACTAGGTCGCTTCTTGTCTGTTTTTCATATGAGCTGTCTTTATTTTTTTAATTTTTTTGGCTGCGTTGGGTCTTCGTTGCTCCACACAGGCTTTCTCTAGTTGTGGCGAGCAGAGCCTGCTCTTCGTTGGCGGTGCACGGGCTTCTCATTGCGGTGGCTTCTCTTGTTGTGGAGCACGGTCTCTAGAGCGCAGGCTCAGTAGTTGTGGTGCATGGGCTTAGTTGCTCCGCGGCATGTGGGATCTTCCCGGACCAGGGCTCGAACCTATGTCCCCTGCACTGGCAGGCGATTCTTAACCACTGCGCCACCAGGGAAGTCCCCGAGCTGTCTTCAGGAATAGCTAAATTCGCTGCCCCTCTTGGCCTCTGGCCAGGCCCCTGTAAGCCCTTTGTCCAGGCATGTGTCACCTTCTTGACAGTTTTGGCAGGAAGGCTAGCTTATTGTTCCCACTGTTCATTGGGGGCAGTTGAGGCTCTGAGGGGCAGCGTTGCCTGCCTGAGGTCATGCTGACTGTCCTCACCGGCCCAGGCTGCCTCTCCAGTTGGGCGGGAGTTTGAGCCACAGCTATGAAAGGGAGTCCCACTGTGGTCTCAAGTCCTCATGACATGCCAGCATCCCAGGGTCCCGAGAACATTGGTGACATGAGTGGCCATGCAAATTCCTGAAGTCGCCAGCTTTGACTGTCCCGTGCCCTCTCCCCTGAGAAAGCTTGCAGGTGATAACCAGTGCCTGTGGATTGTGCCCTGCATGCCAGCGCTGGCCTGAGCTGTACATGTTACTTCATCTTGTCCCCTGGCTGTCAGCCCTGTGGTGGGGAGCGGTTCTCAATTCTCAGGTGAGGAAACAGGTAAAGACTCTGGGAGGCCGAGTCACCAGAAGGAGTCTCCCAGCTGGGATGGGGCTGAGAACTGGGCATCTGGCTGGAATGCAGTA